CCTGTTCCTGCTCTCTTTGCCCCTTGCCCTAACTCTAATGGGCCTAGACTGGACTCCTGGCTCCTGCCAATCAGGGGGCTTCTGAGCCTCCACATCGGGCCCACTTCTGTGGGTTATGGGAAGGAAACTGAGGCAAGGCCAGGGAAGTCAGAGTGACTCCCTCCCAACTTCACCCAAGGCCTCTTGGGCTTCCTCTGCTCTTGAGCAATGCTCTTAAGAGCTTCCTGCCTGGCTCTTGACTGAGGGCAAGCACCGGAGGTGCCAACCAGGGACCTTCCTAGGCCACCCTGTCCTTATGTTTTTCCTCAGAAAACGCCTCTGTTTCTATGGACACATGGTTGGCCTTAGCCAGAAGAGTGTTTACATGAACCAAAGAGAAAACAAAATGCTAGAGCGTCTGAGACAGGGATGTGGGAGCTGAGATTCCCAGAGTGGCTCTTGGACAGCCCTACCCAGGGGATGCTGCCATGTCCCTACCCAGAGGATGCTGCCATATTCTGTTTAGCTAATGGTTTAGGAGAAAGAAACTGTCCTCTGCAGCTGTAGAGGCTCTCAGATCAGGCCCCACTGGGCAGGGCACACCCAAGAAAAGTGTACCATCTGACATTGGGGCAGACGCTGTTGTCAGTGGAAGGAGGAGAGCATCAGCTCATTGCCACCACCTAGGCGATCAGTTTGTCTGATTACTGAGGAGCCCTTTAGACTCTGGGAAGTGCTTCAATACTCATGGTGCAGGCAGGGCAGGAATTAGTACCATGATGAAAATAGTTGGACACAGTGTGGTTAGGTGATACCCTTGAGGCCACACAGGGATTTGTGCCGTTTCTGTTGGCCTCAAGCCCTTGTCAACATGACAAATACAGTTGCCATGACGGGAGTTGACCAAGAGTGTGTGTAAATGTGTGACCAAAGATTGGGAACACTGAGTTGCATACAAGCTTGTGACGGTGGGACTGGAATGTGCTTGTGGTTTAAACAAGTGAGCCAAGCTGTATCCAATGTGGATACAACCAGGCCAGGCTGAGTAGAAGAGTGGGGATTGGTAGATGCTTGCCTGCAGGACTGTATTGGTCAGGGTAGCCTAACTACTGTAACCAAGAGCCCTGGAGTCCACAGGCTTCCCACAGTACATATTCATTTGTCACCCATGTCACAGTACAGAGCAGATTGGTCTCCGGTGGGGCGGCTCTGGTCAACAAAGTCATTCAGTGTCTCAGGCACCTCCCTGCTGCTTGTCGTGCTGTCCTCCAGGGCCTGGCATCCTCCCCGGGATCTGGTGCATCTGGCTGGTGGGACATAGAGAGAAGAGTGGAAAACAGTGAGGGGGGTTGTGAGTGCCAGACCTGAGAGTGGTGTCTTTCATTTCTGCCATCAGTTCATTGGCCAGAATTCAGTCGCATATTCCCACTTAACCATGGGAAATGCTGGCAGATGTAATGTCCTGTGTGCTCAGGGGAAAAGGGAAGTGGACTTGGACACAGAGCATTGTCTCGAATCCTCCAAACTGAAGACAGACTATATGTTTATGTAGAGTTCTCTGGATAGTGGTTCCAGGACTCAAGGAAGGATCAGTATCTGTTGAGAACTGCCATGCAAGTGCATAAAATGAGAGAAACACAAAAAGCCAGACATTGGCCAAGCTGCCCTGGCCCTGGGCCAGGGGAGTGTATCCCACCTCATGGTCCCTGGGCTGGGTCCCCACTTCCCCTTGCTCTGATGCCATCCTCATCACAATCTCTGATTCAAATCTGGCTTTTGCGATGTTGCTCTGGGACTGAATCATCAGGGCCTATGACTCTTCCCCTTTCCTACCCCCACTCTTTCTGTCTATTTATCTATCAACTATCTATCTATCATCTATCTATCATCTATCATCTGCCTACCTACCTACCTACCTACCTACCTACCTACCTACCTACCTACCTACTTATCTACTTATCTATAATCTATCTATATATTTATATCTATCTATCTATCTATCTATCTATCTATCTATCTATCTATCTATCATTATCTATATATCTATCTATCTATCTATCTATCTATCTATCTATCATCTATCATCTATCTATTTATCTATCATCTATCATCTATCCATCTGCTCAGCATTCCTAGGCTGAGGTGCTAATGGGTGTGATAAAGGGGCCCCATGTATAAATGTAAACATATGTGTATCTACACACATCCTAATAGTGTTTTTATTAAAATGTACTGTTTTGTTACCATGTATCTGTCACTATAAGAGCTTCCAAACCTGTAGAGAATTTTTATGAGTTTATTTGAGCCCAAACTGACAGCATATGCTGGGGAGAAACATCTCAAATAATCTGGAGAATAACAATTTTGCAGTTTCTTTTGTGCATTTGTCATTAAAGAGGGAACTTAAGGCGGATTACATGAAGGTGGGAGAAAGCAAGGCGGGGGATGGAATTATAGGCTAGTTAACAAGATTATGCGCTCTCTTGAGGGTGGTTATGTCTTCAAGGGGTATTGCTTCTGCTATTTCAGAGATGTGTTAACCTAGGTACACAAGAACAATAGACAGGGCTGGCTTAAAAATCTTTCACACTAAAGATGCTATAGGCCTGAGGTGTGACTAACCTTTACCTGTCCGGTTAGAAATTTATGATTTATTATAGCACTCCTTTTTGTCCATATAGCTTATTAATATAGTGTAATTTTTTTCCATATCAATATATAAATGGCTGCTTTATCATTTTTTTCATCTACCCCTCCCACCTCCTTCCTCTTTGGTAACCATCAACTTGTTCTCTATGTCTATGGGTTCGTTTCTGTTTTATTTTGCACCTCACTGTTTCATTTGAATTTGAGTGTGGTTTCTGGATTTTGGGTAGAACTCATGGGAATAAAAGGCAAATGCCACCTTGGGAGGCCTCATGATAGCCTTTCTTGCACAGTTCTTTCTTTCAAAAGAAGGAATTTTCCCTAGGAGGGTGGGGGAGGAAGGGCAATGAAACTTAGTTTATAAAGAGCATTCATTCATTCATTCATTCATTCATCTGACTAAATAATAATGATCTGGGAGATGGGACCACAGAGGTCACTGTCCTCTTGGACTTGCAGTCTCTTGGTGGCCACAGCAATCAGAGCAGGGGCACTGCCCAGCCTAGTGGGAGAGAGGAGACTCGAGGGAGTGTGGGACGGCTGAACAGAGACTGGAGGAAGCGTAGAAGTTGGCCTCATAAAATAAAGGGGGAGGATTGGGAAAGGGCTCCAGGTGGGTGGGTGCGGGGAGAAGGGTGGGACAGGGGCTGGGACAGGGATTATTTTGTCCTAGTTTGATGGAGGAAGCAACTGAAGCCCAGCTTCACAAACAGTGAGTTCAGAATGGATGCGAGCTTAGTGGGGAGTACTGGCCAGACCCAAACCCCAGCTCCCTGGTCTGTTCCCGAGTAGCCCACATGGCCCTGCACCCTGGTCATCAGTGGGCACCAGGATCCTTCTCTTTTCTTTCCACTGTCCCCTCCAAAGCTCCCTGAGATTCTGACACTAAACGGCCAATGGGAGGAGAAGGCAATGTTGACTTTGACCTTCTTCACATTCCATTTCCCCTTTTTCTTTACCCTGATGTTATGGGTTGAATTATGCACCCCCCTGCACCTGCCCAAAGAGATGCTGAAGTCCCAATCCCCGGCTCCTATGAATACGACCATATTCGAAACTGGGTCTTTGCAGGTGTAATCAAGTTAATGTAACAGAGTGAAATGCTTGATCTCTCTGATTCCATCTTGTTCAAGCCTGCTTTGTTCTCATGGCCTTCAGGCTGATAGCTTCTGCTTAGTCTTGCATATAGACACACAAATCATTAGAAAAATTCTACTTGCAGAGTGAAGAGATAAGGGAAGTTTCTATTGTTTATTTAGGATTTGTGGGAACCTTGTGACTGGACTCACAGCAATTAACACAGTCTTCCTCGGATCATTGCTGGCATCCAGATGTCTGTGGACGTCAATCGCCTTTTGCTCTTCCCACCTTCTTTTCCTTTGACATAAAAGAAACCTGGACTTTGTGCAGTCTTAAGATGGATTTGAGGAACCACTGGGGCTCCTGTCTTCTTGGTCGGTATCTTTTCCATCAGTAAACCTTTCCTCACTCCAAACTCCGACATTTTGAGTTTTGGCCTTTCGAAGTGGTGGTTGCATGGACTTTGGACTGGAACATTAAGATGAGGTCATCCTGGATTAGGATGGGCCCTAACCCAATGACTGGTGTCCTTATAAGATGAGGAAAATGTGGACACAGAAAGAACATCACATGAGGATAGAGGCAGAGATTGAAGTGATGCAGCCATAAGCCAAGGAGCAGCGAGCATTGCAGTGGCCACCCAGAGCTGACTGAGGTAAGGAAGAACCCTCCTTTACAGGCCACCGTGGTTTCAGATTTCTAGCCTCCAGAACTGTGAGAGGATAAATAACTTTGGTTTTAGGCCATTCGCTTTGGTAATTTGTTACGGCAGGCCTGGGAAACTCACACGGCTGCCCACCCTGATTCCCCTTCTCCACACCAGGAGCCTGAGCTCATAGTTTCTGAACCTGAATTAACAGTTGTCACGTACATGGCAAGCACAGTGCTGGTCGGTGCTGTTGTGTGTGTGTTCTGTGACCAAAACAACTGACCACAGCAAAGGCCCCAGGGAAGATCTGGTTTTCACATCTCAGTGCAGAGTTGGCTCCCAAAGTGTCCACAGTTGGTGGCATTTGGCTTCAGAACATCAGGGATGTTCTCTCTCAACATCTGTCAGGTGTCACTTCCCTCAGGGCTCTGACTAAAGCCTATTTGCTTATT